CATCAGTCGCCCTCACCCTGCCGGCCTACAAGGTGCTTCTTCACGCCTCGCTTGAAGGACCCCAAGTCATAGGAAGGAGGAAATACGTGTGCTGGTAGATTGTTCCATCTTTTGGATGTGCGACAAAGAAACGAGTCACCAAATTTCTTTGTGCGCGATGGAATGCTAGAGACAGTATAGCGGTGACTCCGGAGAGCAGCACGCGTGCTCCTATGGAGGAAGGGAGAAGGTGGGATAAGGTCAAAGAGTTCTTCAGAGCACTCGCCGTGGTATAAACGGTAGAAAGCGCTGAGTGACGCAATATCTCTACGCAATTGCAGAGGTTCGAGAGTATTAGTGACCTCTGCATTGCCGATAATGCGTATAGCGCGCCGCTGCAATCTGTCCAAGGCATCGAGAAGGTACTTAGCGGAACCGTCCCAGAGGTGCGAACAATACTCCACGCACGATCGCACTTGTGTCTTATACAAGAGACACAACTGATCCGGCGCGAAGAAGCGTCGCACTCTGTTCAGGACACCGAGTTTACGTGAAGCTGTTTTTATCACGGCTTCAATGTAGTCCCTCTGGTTCAGATCGCAGCGAATCTCCGTACCGAGCATGCTAATGCTGCTCTGTAGGCTAAGTGGTGTGCCCTGAAGAGAAGGAAGGGGAAGGAATGGTGTCTTTTTTGCCGTGAACGCGCACACCTGTGTTTTCTTGGCATTGAACTCAACAAGATTATTGGAGCCCCATTGAGATATGAGGTCCAACACCCGATTGAGCTCAATGACAAGATTCACTCGCTTCTCTTCAGTCTCGACCCGCCCAGCCGCAGGGTGACCATTATACCCTCCGTGCACTGTACTATCATCTGCATAGCAATGAATATTTCCAAGTGGAAGCATATCATTGATATGCAGAAGGAACAGCGTGGGGGATAGAACGGACCCCTGAGGGACACCAGCGTTCACTGACATGAATTCCGAAGCGCATCCGTCTGACAGCACTCGGATTCTGCGCTCATGCAGGAAGCCAGCGACCCAGTTGCAGAACTGGGCAGGCAGGCCGTATGACGGGAGTTTGGAGAGAAGAGCTTTGTGCCAGACCCGATCAAAAGCCTTGGCTATGTCAAGGCTAACAGCCATCGACTCGCCACGCTTATCAATAGCCACACCCCAGAGATGTGTAATAAACGCTAAAAGATCACCCGTTGACCGTTTCGGCCGAAACCCGTATTGACGATCGTGAATTAAGGAGTGTTCTTCTAGGTAGTGGATTAGCTGTTTATTTAAAATCCGTTCCATCACTTTACACAAAACTGAAGTTACGGCTATTGGGCGGTAATTATTCGGATCTGATCGATCTCCTTTTTTGGGGACCGGTTGCACATTAGCCTTTCTCCAAGATTAATAATAAATATTAATAAAATTAATATTAATCTTCATAGTAAAGCTATACATTTTAATTATAAGAACCTAATGTGTAATTGCGATGCCTAAACTAAGTAAATGTATACCTTTATTTTACACATCTTTATGCGTATATTTCCTTATGTTACAGCTTAAAAATTTTCTATATTTAACAATAAACTAATCAGTAAGTAGTTAGAAATTAACAGTTATACAAAAATATTTAATAAACAACTTCCAGCAAGCTTTCTGTTTCATTATAAGTTTTACTTTTAAGCTAGGATTTGACTTCATCAGGTCTTTTTACGTTCTTTTTTATTCATGGTGAAATAATGCAAAATAGAATTTCATTTAAAAGTAAAAGAATGTACCAAGGAAGCAAAATAATCTATGCGAGTGTGCTGTGCGGACTTGTTGTTGTTACGAGATGAAAAAGGTATCGAGTCCTCTGTGGTTGTACAAGTGCGCATTTGACCTCCATCTCACCTAATGGAAAGTGACGATGAGGTCGACGATGGGCATTATTTAGGTGTGCATACACCTAAATAATGCCTATTCACTCTCGCCTTGAAAAGTCCAAGTTATAACGTTCATGGAACAAGTCAGCAGGCAGGGAATTCCACTCCACAGCCGTTCGCCGTATAAATGTGGAAGCGTAACGCTTCGTACGAATCTTTGGAATATCCACAACATAACGGTGGAACCCAAGCCTACGCCTAGTCCCCCGGTGATGGAAAGTGGAAAGCGGAATTAAATCGTGTAATTCTATCGCACACTGTCCGTGATATATCCTGTAAAATACCGACAAGCAGGCAACTTTACGGAGGTGTTCAAGGCTTTGCAGGTTCGCCTCCACTAATTCCGAGAATCACGGAATCAAGTGTAACAAGCACATAGAGAATTTGTAAGGTGTGCTGACTCGTTCTGTAACTCAGTTGGTTAAGAGCAGTGGCTCCGGCATGGCAACAGACACTGGTTTGAGTCCGGTCAGATTCAAAGAATTTTTCTTTATGTTGTTCGAACTTTATAGCAATAAGTACAGGTGCAGTTTAACATGCTTATGAGGGACGTACAGACAAGGAGGCCGAGCGTTACGAAACGCGGAAAAACTAAAATCCGTTGCCCACCACACATAACTCGCAACGAGAAATCCGCGGGTAGGTAATAGGTCCCCGGGTAGATTCTACGAACATCTACCCACAGACCTGAAAAGTGTTACGAACGACGAAACGTTTTATAGGTACTAATGGATAATGAATTCTACAGTGTCGATGAGTTTCTTTTGAAACAATTGTAATTTTTTTTTACTTCACTTCGCTGTATTTAGACAGGCAGTAGTTATATTACTTTATGTTCATTTATAGTTTGCGTCAGTGATGATCGATTATCCTTTGACATTGTATTTTGGATTGTAATATAGTGACATTGATAATATTAAATAAATGATTATATTCTATTCTATGTGGAATTCATTGCTTGGTTATGGTTTTCAAAATTTATATTACGTCCTGAAAATAATCTTTGTTTAGGTCACTTTAATCAAGTTTTGAACCCGTGTAACTTAACCTGTATAATTTATTGGGAAACTGGCAAACTACGATCTTAGATATTAGTTTCTAGATTATGTCGTCTGAAAGTCGTTCAGTTTAGTTAATTAATATGCAAGATAGGATTAAACTTTGTAACTAACGCGTTCGCGGAACAGACTGTGATCGTCTTAAATTGAACAATTTTACAACAAGAAAGTCCCCACCATTTTAAGTGTAAAGCTGAGATTTAGAAAACGAACTTTAAGAGACCCCCACACTAGCTTCTTTAGAGCATCAGCGTCTTGCCAAGTCACGCACAGTGGCCACAGCGTCGACAGCACGTTCGAGGTGTTGCGTCGCCGCCGCCCGGAAGCCGTAACGACGCTCTGCGTACGTTGGTAAAACTCTGTGGATCCTTTGGTAAGACGCTGACGCTTGAAAGACACTGGTGTGGGAGGGTCTATAACTTCGACTAACGACGTGGACACACAGAAAACTGTTTTTTAATAAATACCAAAAAAATGGCCCGTACCGTGGGCGCTCCAAAGGACTCTCTTCGGAGAGTCTAAGCACGTGCGCGTAGTGTTCCAGTGGAGCCTACCAACATATCTGCCTCGGAGGCTGGTGAGCATCCATTTTACTTCGCAGTTGAGGGGATGTTGTCCATGCCTCCATGGCCCCTGGCTAGCGGACTCGGGGGAGTTCGTTGCCGAACACCAGATGAGCCTCCCGAGACGGAAGACTCGTCTGGTGTTCGGCGAGTATCTTCAGCTGCAGCGGAGAGGAGGAACATGCCGGGGATTTGGTGCAGTCAGGCTGCTCCCCTTCAGGGTTCAGCCGAGTCCGAGATAACCCCGGCTCTGCCCCCGTAGGGGATAAGCAGATTCCCTCGGGTAATAAAGGAAAAACAGATCCTAAAATGGAAGCAGCATCGACACAAGAAAAAGAAGCTTGCCATTGTTGTTTAATAAATCTAGTTTACTCTCAATAAACATGTACCATGGCTCGAAGTCCTTGACAGTGTATCCGAAAATAGACGAAAAATAGTGAACACATAAATGTCAGACAGACATGAAATGTGGGCTGCTAACAGCGTTGCACACGCGATTCCCCTGCCCCGATTTAGAGATGGTTACCTCACACACGCCGCTTGTAAAAAAAGCTATAAATGATCTTGATAAGCTTTACTGACAATTGGAAGGAAAGTTACGGCAAAGCGCGAAGTTTCCTTTCACGAAAAGGACCGTGACCATAATTCATTTTATTTCCGGAAACGCAAGCTGTATAAAAGTTGGCAGCTACAAAATATGTAGGTACACATAGTCACATGTTTCTGGTCAAATATTATTCATGCCAATTCTTAATTCGAGCCACCAAGCATTTTCAGTACTAAGTGCCCTAAGCCTAAACAATGTTTGATTGATCTAAAACTATTATGCAATTTTGAAACTAGTACACTAAACGTCTTTTCCATAAGTCCTTGGTGGAAATTTGGATTTGCAAAACCGGGGAAATTTTCGATTATCCGCTCACGCGATGCGCTCATCCTACCGCAAAATGGCGGCTATTTGGTTTAGCAAATTAGAAAAGGATTCAGTTTAAATACAAGTTTTTAAAAATAAAAATTATTATTCTGCATTGCTAAATAAATACCCTCCATAATACAACAAAAACATCTCAAATAAAATGCAGTAATACACCGCAAATTCTGCACTTAAAAAGCACTAATGTAATTTTTGGTGTACTTGGGTAAATATGATAATATTCCGTTTGAGTGGTTCTAATGTTTACCACGAAATTACTCCTTAAAGTATAGTTTATAAACATTAATATTCAGGGTAAACTTAAAAACCGCAACTTACGGTATGTTTTCAATAAATAAACACCGACATCACCAGCCCAAACAATAACACACACGATTGTCGTGACGTATTTTTGAAGTTGTTTATTTTTTTTAAATGACAGACCCAGGCATTAAAAACTTTATGATTTGCTAGAGTAGTTACCGAAATAGCAATTAGTATTAGTTCTTTTACCTGTTATAACTTCGACATCCGATAAATCGGTATAAAATCATCACCGGCACCTCTAGGTGTGGTATGCTTCCAGAGACGCATGAATCGCGTGAGCGGTCATAACACTATTTTTGGATTCTAGCCCTTTACGACAAAAATGCGAAATGGGTCCGGGAGAAAATGTTGAAGGTTTGTTACTAGAATGTGTTCGGTATGAGCAACAGAGGGCGTTGATGAGAAACCAGCAGACAACCGAACCCATACCATACGGGCAACAAGACTGTAGATTTTGTGAGACGGCTCTTCCGCAGCGCCGCCGAAACAAGTAAGGCCTTATTCATAGTGACGGCGGGCGCGGGAGCGTTCAAATCAAATGTACGTAGACGCTCGTTGCGTTCAAAGTGGGCGACGGCGCCTGCCTCGAGGTTAGAATAGATATTGGCTCGGTCCGCCCTTACCTTTCACAGTGCTTGATCTAGCGTCTGTTTGCGATTTCGACGTGAGGATCTACCCGCTTGTAGTCCCTTCGGCGCTGTGAAAGTTGCCTCACCCGCGCCTGCACTCTGAATGAGCCCTACGCCGTAGATTAGGTTACTATGGAACTTCTATATGCATTGTAGAAAAACTCCTAAGCATATGCCTTCAATTTTCTTTATTAAATACTTATAGAAATAACTGCGCATTAAATCTCCATTTCACCTGAAAGAAAGTGACGATAAGGTCGACGATGGAGTATGCACATATAAGCCCCAATTTATTGCGTTGCGATAATAAATGTGTTTTTCTACTTACCTGTACTTTAATCTGCCAATTATAATTTCGTAAACCTAGTTTTCCATATTTGTATAGCCTCGGAGTCGGATGCAGTGCGCCTATGCGCTTACCCTTCAAAATCGGAACGCTTTAATGCTCACATTTCTGCTTGGCAGAAATGCCTCACGGTCTCTGCTTAAAAAGCGACCACCACTAGGCGACCATAGCTAGTAAGTTATCTAACTCTAGTTTATTTAAATATAAACGTTACTATTTTACTTCTTTACTTTTATTCGCTAAATTTGCCGGCGAGTGTACTTTGGCACAAATAATTGAGTATTTATTAACCCTTACGGCGGGCACTTGCGTCCGACCGGCTAGTCTGGCAATCTTTGCGGGAGACTTATGTCCAGCAGTGGACGTCTTCCGGCTGATATGA